CTCAACCTGCCATGAGCCAAGGAGTATGGGCAGCCTCTGGAAGCGGGGGAAGTCAGGAAACACAGGAGGAACCCAGCCCTGCCACCAACTTGAATTTAGCCCACTGGGACCCCTTTTGGAGTTCTAACTTGCAGAACTGTAATAATAAATTTGTTTCTTTTAAGCCACCATGCTTTTGGTAATTTGTTAGAGCATCAATAAGGAACTAACATAATAGGCATCCAGTTTACAGGCAAGATAAGTAAAATTGTATTTTGTAAACCAGGATTCAAGTCTGATTCTCTGTGACTTCAAAGCCCGTCCTTTCCCCTACACTCCACTGCTACCTCTTTTAAATTTTTATGACTAATGTCCTTACTGAAATCGTCCAATACTTAATTGCACAACAACTACTTTAGAAAGAAGCACTAATGGCATACTTCTAAATAACTCTGCTTGCCACAAGTAATTTGTTGAGAGAAAAGGAAGTATCGGTTGAACTTTGCCTGGAGAGTTATGAAAAGAAAACCAGAATATCCAAATTTCCCTGCAGAAGCACTTTAATTTAAGGAGACTGACAGTGCCATCACACTTCAGCTTGTTTTTTTCACTTGCCTGGAGTTATAAATTATCCTGTGTGCATTTAATAAAACATCAGTCATGAAAAGATGCACAATTTCATTCATAATCAGGGAGACATAAATTAAAACCACAATGAAATAGTACTCTACACCCACTAGAAGGGTTAAAATTAAAAAGACTGTTGGTGAGGATGTGGAGAAACAGGAACACTCATGAAATGCTGGTAGGATGCTGAGCATAACTGCTTTGAAAAATTGGTAGTTTCTTATAAAATTAAACAAACCTAATACCCAGAAATTCCATTCATAAATACTTGTCCATGAAAAATGAAGTAGTTGTCCGTAAAAAGATTTATACAAAAATTTTCCTACCAGCTTTACTCATAATAATCAGTCCTGGAAACAATCCAAGTGTTTATCAACAAGTAAATGTGATATATTTCATACAATGGAATACTATTTAGCAATAAAAAGGAATGAACTAGTGATGAATGTGACAACAGGAATGAATCTCGAAATCATGCTGAGTGAAAGAAATTCAGACTCAGTAGGCCATATCCTGTGTGATTTCATTAATATGAGGTTTTGCATGGGTGGAACTTGATCTGTATCGATAGGAAGCAGGTCAGTTGTTGCCTGTGGTCGGGTGGAGAAATGGGAAATGACTGCAAAGGAGTCATGGGGGAACTTTCTGGGGTGCTGGAAATGTTCTATATCTTGATTAAGGTGGTGGTTACACAGGTACATGCATTTGTGAAAACTCATCAAACTGTTTGCTTAAAAAATCTCTGTACGTGATTTACATCTCACGTTTTGAAAAAGCAACCAGGAGTTAAAACAGAAAAAAACAAAAGCAACTTGGGGTCCTTTGAATAATCTGTGTGTGTTGAACTAGGACTTTTATAAGGCAGGGAAGTGGAGTGGTGGGAAGAACACCAGGCAGGGAACAAGAGGCTTCCTTCAGGTCTCAGTTCCTTCACTGGCTTAGAGATATGTATGATGTTGCAGGATTCACTTCTCCTCTCTAGGTCTCAGGGTCCTCAAGTGCAAAATAAACGAGCTGCATTCAATGACCTCAAAGTTTCCTTCTAGCTCCAAAATTCCATTATCTCCCATTTTAAGTGGTAAATCAAATGACTTGAGACGTTTCTAGTTGATGCAGCACTACTTTTCAAACACACTCTGATTCTAATCTATGATCCAACTGATACCGACTCCTCAGTTAGCAACTTAGTTCTCAGAAATTGCATTTTTCTGTGAGAATCCTGAATCCATCTTATCAGATAGTTTCCAGGAACACATCTCAGAGAGGAGCCAGTGTGGGCTGCATGTATTCGGATTATGGGCATTTTCCATATTCAGATAGAGCAGATACGTGCATATTCATAGAGATATGAGAGTTACTGAGAACACGCTCTTTAAAAAGCTTGGGGCAACAGGGTAACAGAGCACAGTGAAAAGATGCTGGACATGTTGACTCTGTGACCTCAGACAAGCCACTGCATGTTCAGATGACATAAAGGTCTCTGCACTATCTGCTTCTCCAGGGTTGTTTGAAGTTGACAGGAGATCTTGTCAGATAGGTGAAAGCATGTTTTAACTTGCAAAATGTTGTGCAAATATAAAATGGTTTGTTCTTACTGAGATGGGGGAGAGGGAAAGAGCAGGTAACTGGGAGGGGCACCACTCTGCAAACAAGAGTTCAGATCTGGTCAGTACCAATCGCTGGGAAGAAAACAGTCCCTTCCATAACACTGCAATCCCCTCCATGGTTCAGGTGCAGGAGATAACGAGAGCAAGGCTTGCTCTCTGGCCACGGAGGCAATAATATTTTAGAAGGATTTCCTGGCTTGCGCTGAGCTCATCTAGATTTCTGCTGTTTTCCACAGTCTCGTAGCTCACCCCCTACATCTTCCCAGCCCCACCTCATGCAAAATGGCTGACCTTTGGTTTGCCAGACCGGATTGGGATCAAGTCATGAGAGTCACATGTCCAGGACTGGGGCAGGGAGGAACCATAGGGGTGCCTGGAGAAACTGAGGGCGTAAGACTGGGAGGGCTGCCAGTGTGGAGCCCAGGGGAGGGTGGTAGACTTGGAAAGAGGTGACCCAGAGGAAGCTTTATAACTGATTGGGGGAGGGTATGTTGGAGCAAGGGGAGCCCAAGAGAAGGGAGGGATGGGAAACAGCTGTCTTCCACAGAGCACAAACTCTCAAAAAGAACTGTCCATATTCGATGGTGATGTTTCCCCACTGCTATATTCCCAGGACCTAAAACGGTCTCAGCCATGCAGGAGGTGCTTAATAAATGCTGGCTGAATGAAATGAATGGATGCACAGAAAAAGAAGGCCACGAAGGCCGTATTGGCAGTGCCCACCAACCACCACTGCACCTGGAGAAGAAGCAACCTGGTTCATCTCTCTAGACTTGGAGGCCCAAACAGAGAAGGATTCAGCAGGTGAATGCACAGATACCTAAACAATTCAAATCATGCAGCATTAATATCCTTTTTCTGAATATGCAAACCCAGGAAGCACACTTGATTCTTCCCTTTCCTCTACATTCAACCAAGGAGCCCTGTCAGCAGTGATCTCAACATACTTGCTGAATCTTTCTGTTTTTATGCATCATGGCTCTTAATCTCCTATCTGGACCACTGCAATGGCCTCCCAATTGGTCTCCCTGCTTCCAATCTGCCTTCTCATTCTTTATACACTCATGCATATATCATTTATACATATAGTATATCCCATTTATAGATGTTTACATATCTTTTATCTTTTTTTTTTTCTCTTCTTGAGGGAGTTAATACAGTTGTGTACATATCTTTTAGATAGTCATTTATATAATATACATATATATATATATATATATTTTTTTTTTTTTTTTTGAGACAGAGTCTCGCTTTGTTGCCCAGGCTAGAGTGAGTGCCGTGGTGTCAGCCTGGCTCACAGCAACCTCAATCTCCTGGGCTCAAGCAATTCTGCTGCCTCAGCCTCCCAAGTAGCTGGGACTACAGGCATGGGCCACCATGCCCGGCTAATTTTTTCTATATATATATTAGTTGGCCAATTAATTTCTTTCTATTTATAGTAGAGACGGGGTCTGGCTCTTGCTCAGGCTGGTTTCGAACTCCTGACCTCGAGCAATCCGCCCGCCTCGGCCTCCCAGAGTGCTAGGATTACAGGCGTGAGCCACCGCGCCTGGCCCTACTTATATTTTCATATATATCATTTCTACAGTGACTTCCTTGCCTGCAATCATCCAATTGCTTTGAATTACACACAGAACAGTGCCCTAACTCCCAATGATAACCCTTGAGGTCCTGTGAGATCTGACCTAACTTTCTCCTCTCTGCTTTGTCACCACTCTGTCTCCACTCTGCCCCTCCTTCACTTTCCCATAGCAACTCTGGCCTTTGCTCTTTCCCCAGACTTGGCAAACTCTGTCTGCCTCAGGACCTTTGCCCCTGTTATTTCATGTGGCCAGCTTTTTCTTGTCATTCTGAGAGCTTTTCCTAACTAATGTGCCTTCCTCTTGTCACCCGATATAACCTATCTCCATATCTTGCTTTATTTTCTTTATAGGACTTTTACCTGAAGGTAGTTTTAATTGTTGTTTACTTATTTCTTGGCTCTTCCTTGGGGATTTGTGAATACTGTTGACTGACATAATCTCTGTCTTCAAATGTTGCCTGGCACATAGTAAACACTAAACTAGATTTTGTAATGAATGCCTACTTACCAAGTGCCCTTTTGATTTAGCCAGAGGACAGGGCTGTCCTGCCTCCCTAACAAGTTTTTGTATAAATACATACATCAATGCTTGAGTTTGCATACTTCAGTGTCTGTGATTTTGGTTACTGTGAGTCTGCCTCTAAAAGACGGAATCCCTTTGGAGGCACTAACAAATCAGGTATCTGAGCTTGCAGACTTTAGAGCAGTGTTCCGCACTGAGTGGCACTGAGGAATGGTACCTTGTCCCTTACCTGGGTGAGCTCATGACCTTTACAGCCTTACCATGAGTGTCCTGTGGGCTTTTCTGGAGAAATTCTCTAGGAACAAGCAGAGAAGAGCTCCTGATGGAAAAGTCTCCAGAAAGGAAGGAAAGGCTATATAAGTATTCCACAGCTCTTTCATCTTGAGCTTGTATAGTTTGTGGAATTCTATTCCGAATGCCATCACATAGAGTGCATTCCATTTTCCTGTTTTATCTTCAGCATAACTGAGACAAGTTTACACTTCTGAGCAACAAGAAAAAGGATAAGCTATTAGCTATTGAGTGCTTACTATTAGACACTAAGGACTGCACAAATATTATCTCACTTAAAACAATACTTCTAAAAACTAAGGGAAATAAAAAAATAAAGTGCCTGTAAGAGTCCAATATTCAAGTTAACACCTGTGCATTATATCAGACCCATGGGAATCAGAGATCTTACCCAGTAACAAGCATTACTAGTAACTTCAAGGATACAGGTAATTGTGAGGTACAGGTGGGTGCCGGACACCCTGGTCCATCAAAGCTACTCCCTGGTCCTTTCTTGCTACAGTAGGATGTGCTCTGGCCCATATATAACACATGGGGCTTCCAAGTGGATGCATATGGTCATCACTAAAGCAAAACAAAAAGAAGACCTGAGTCATAAAACATCTCTATTTTATACTCGTATAGGTACATAGTTTATATGACATTTTACAGGGAGCTATGCTCAATAAATCCATAGATTCCAGATGTATTTATCATAAGCCATCCTAGACTGACCTGGTACATTCTTCTAGAAGTTTTTTTTTTAGAGAGAGAGTTAATACCCTAGTAAATACTATCAGATTAAAAAGAATTAAGATTAAGAATCAGATTAAGAAGAAGTTGAGGCACAAACTATAACTTAAAGAGTTTACTTGAGCCAAAGTGAGCACAGCTGCCAGGAAGACTCAGACCCAAGTACCTTGGATCTGAGCTTTCTTAGGCCTTTGTTACCAGCAGGCTTTTAAAAGCAAAGAATGGGTACAGGGAGAAGGCAGATACAAAGTCGCTTGTCAGGGATTCTCACTGATTTATAGAAGTAACATTGATTAGCGATTGGCTATATGCTGTTAAGCTGTAGGGTGCCGGTTATAGTGTCTAGTGTGGTGGTGTTAGGTTAATTTATAGCTACTGTGGCAATAGCAAGCAGTTTCAAAGGATGAATACATAACTCAAGGGAGGATGTGAATGCTGTCTCATTTTAATGTCCTTCTGGGCCTGATAATTTAAAAGGACTCATATTCCTCCGATAAGAGTTATTTTCTTTTCCCAACACCATTGGTTTCCATTCCAGGAGGTCTGTGTTAGTACGTCCAAAAGGAGATTTGACCAGGCCTCCTAACTCTCTGCTCCTCTCTCTCCCTTTCTGTCCAGTGGCATTCCAGGGAACGAGAGAGAATGGCCAGCTGCTAACCTTTTCCTTCCTCCAAAGAATAGGTTTCTGGTCCTAAGAACTCCACTTGAGGTCAGTGCAGTGATGATTTCTCTCCACCTCCAAAGCCTTTCGTTTCAGATTAACTCTGCCTCTGTCCAGGTAGAGCAAGCACAGATGGACAAAACTTCTCCTAACCAGCCTCTTCACTTCCAGACCTGTTTTTGGCATCTAGACCCATTTTTCTACTGCAGGGTCGATAGAGCTCACCACTAGGTAAACTTGGTTATTGTTCCACATAGTTCTTAGTTTTTTAACACATTAACTGCCATGTGAGTTGTATTTAACTCATGCTAGTTTTGAGCCCAGGGCCTTGCGAAGCATATGTAACTCACATGTCTTTTCACCTTGGGAGCCACAAGAGCTATTTTTCAAGTTGCATATAATTTACATATAGAAAACAATTAAAAATAACACATTTTTCATTAAATTAGAAAGGATCATTTTGATTTCAAAGTTTTCATTCTATATTTGTAATAAGACACCATGGTCCCAAGGAAACAATTTTTTTTTTCTAGTTTGGCAGTCAATGTGTTAAAAAAAGAATTTAGATTTCAAACAGCTCTTAATGGTAATGTTTTCTTCCTTTTGTTCCACTGACTAGTATTGTCAACAGAAAAGAAGCCAAACTCTGTAAAATAATTTTAAAGAGAGTTATTCTGAGCCAAATTTGGGGACCATGACCTGGAGCCACGCCCAAGAAGCTTTGAGCAAGTAGACTCGCTGTGGTTGGGTTACAGTTTGGTTTTACACATTTCAGGGAGACAAGGGTTACAGGTAAAGTTATAAATCAATTAGTGGGAGTTGTATATTGGTTTGGCCCAAAAAGATGGGCCATCTGGAAGGGTGGAGGGGGGGCTTACAGGTTATAGGTGGGTTTAAAGATTCTTTGACTTGTAATTGGTTAAAGACATGAAGCTCTTCATGGTCTAAAAGCTTGGAATGTTTTCAGATAAGGAGCTCTGTTAATCAGAGACAAATCACCAGACATATATCTGTTGTGTGAATTGAGGATGGACAGGTTTGTCTTGCATAGCCTTAGGCCTGTTAATGGGTTACAAAGATATACCTCCAAGAAGGGAAGGGGGGCATGATGAGGCATGACTGACCTCCCTCCTTGTGGCAGGCAATTTAGTTTTAGGTTATCCCCTTGGCCAAGAGAGGGCCTATTCAGTCCACTGGTGGAGGGAGCCTGAAGATTTTATTTTAGTTCACAATATCTACCACCACCAAACAGTGGGATGAAGGTAATATAACAGTGTAAACACACTGAGTCCAAATTCCATTCAAATGTTATTGAAAGCCCAGCACGTGCCTACTAGGGACTGAGAATAGAAAAGACATAATCCCTGCTCTCGGGGAACTCATAGTCCACTGGGAAATAAAAATGTGTCTATCTCCAAAGCCTCCAATGTTACGGAGTCACTCTGCTTTTTATATCTAAATAAAAATGGCTCATAAAAGAGGACATAAAAACAATTCTCTCCCTAGTGGTATTCCGAAACCAATTTAAAGCAAGCATTTTGTTCTTTTCGACATGCCAATAAACGTATAACAACAATGGACTATCTTTGGATGCAGCAATATAAGAATGACTATAGAGCAGAAGGAGGAAGCAAGTAGTAAATTCTAATTGAGGTGTGGAAGAGGCTCACAGAGGAGGTGGTGGTCATGTTGGTCAAGTGAATGACGAGACTCTATCAAGTGGGGAAGGGCATTCTAAGCAGCAGACTTGTATACACACAAGGCAGCTGTACAAACAAGCAGCGGATACCTAGGGACTTCTGATGGTTTAGTATGACTGAAGCATTTAGTAAAAGGGTGAGTGAAAAGTATGGAGAATGGTGTCATAGACTAAAAGGAGCTTACGTGTGTAGGGGCCAAGGGAAAGCTTTCCCTTTGACCTCTGAAGGATTACTGAAAAATAAACTGACAAAAGGCAGATTCATTGGAGAAAAACATACAATTTTATGAATGTGCACACAAGGGAGAACCACAGAGTAATGGGGTGCGGAATCTTATATACCACCTTGAGGTTACAGAAAGAATTGGGGAGCCGGGCACGGTGGCTCATGCCTGTAATCCTAGCACTCTGGGAGGCCGAGGTGGGTAGATTGCTCGAGGTCAGGAGTTTGAAACCAGCCTGAGCAAGAGCGAGACCCCGTCTCTACTATAAATAGAAAGAAATTAATTGGCCAACTAAAAAAATATATAGAAAAAAAAATTAGCCAGGCATGGTGGTGCATGCCTGTAGTCCCAGCTACTCGTGAAGCTGAGGCAGAAGGATCGCTCGAGCCCAGGAGTGTGAGGTTGCTGTGAGCTCGGCTGATGCCACGGCACTCACTCTAGCCTGGGAAACAAAGTGAGACTATGTCTCAAAAAAAAAAAAAAAAGAAAGAATGGGGGCTTGGATCATGGCAAAACAGGAAGTGCTTGAAAAAAAAAATGGGTGCTTGTCAAAAACACAAAAGACAACCAGAGGGGGCTCCCAAAGGGAAAAGATGGAGCAATTTGAGGAACAGAGTAAATAATGATAGAATTGATTATACTTAGGGATGGTGGCTCACACCCGTAATCCTAGGACTTTAGGAGGCTGAGATGGGAGGATAGCTTGAGATCAGGAGTTCAAGACCGCTTGAGCAATATAATGAGACCCCGTCTCTACAAAAAATAGAAAAATTAGCTGAGAATGGTGGTGCACATCTGTAGTTCCAGCTACTCAGGAGCCTGAGGTGGGAAGATTTCTTGAGCCCAGGAGTTTGAGGTTGTAGTGAGTTATGATGATGCCACTGAACTCTCTAGAATGGACGACAGAGACCCTGTCTCAAAAAAAAAAAAAAAGGAATCGATCATACTCAATAAAATAAAATGATTATCCATGTGTACTTGCCATTATTAATTAATTAAATAACTAACTAATTAATTACCTAACTTTTAAAAGAAGGACAATTCTTTCATACAGAAAAATTCTTCTTTAAAAGTGTAGAAGAAATGAGAGAAATAGAAATTTACCATTAGGCAAGTATTACAGTATTAATTGTTGTAGGAAAGATGGACTCTAAAAATCGGTGGGTGAAAAGGAAAGACAGCTTATAAATATAGTCTCAAAGTATCTCACCCAAGATATTGGATTAATGGTGGAGAAATCCAGTAGATACCACCTGAAGCAGGTGATCAAGGTTAACCTCACCTGTCATGTCACTGACATCATATCTTCCAGATACTGTGCGCTGAGAAGGGTACAACATCTCTTCTGTGGCATTCTTCCCCAAAATATATAACCCCAACCTAATCACGGTAAACATCAGACAAACCCAGAAGAAAGACAATCTACAAAATCACTGACCACTACTCTTTGAAAATGTCAAGGTCATGAAAGACAAGGAACTGTCACAGATTGAAAAAAGACCAATCAGACATGACAACTAAATGCAATATGGGGCCGGGCGCTGTGGCTCACGCCTGTAATCCTAGCTCTCTGGGAGGCCGAGGCGGGCGGATTGCTCAAGGTCAGGAGTTCAAAACCAGCCTGAGCAAGAGCGAGACCCGGTCTCTACTATAAATAGAAAGAAACTAATTGGCCAACTGATATACATATAAAAAAAAAAAAAAATTAGCCGGGCATGGTGGCGTATGCCTGTAGTCCCAGCTACCCGGGAGGCTGAGGCAGAAGGATCACTCGAGCCCAGGAGTTTGAGGTTGCTGTGAGCTAGGCTGACGCCACGGCACTCACTCTAGCCTGGGCAACAAAGCGAGACTCTGTCTCAAAAAAAAAAAAAAAATAAAAAATAAATGCAATATGGGAAACTGTCCTGTATCTTGGGGTAGAAAATGGACATTAGGGGGTAAACAGGTAGAATTCAAATACTGCTTATAATTTAGTTAATAGTATTATGTTTATGTTAATTTCCTGATTTTTTTATAATGGTACTATAATTATGTAAGATGTCAACAGTTGGGGAAATGAGCTGATCCTATATATGAACTCTCTGTTTTTGCAACTTCTCTGGATGCCTAAAACTGTTTTAAAGCAAAAAGTTAAAATAAAAAACCCTCTAAATAAATAGCTTTATTGGGAAAAAACTCACAGCATATTTCATTTTTTGTAAATGAACTCCAAATACACTTCTGATATTTTGCTAAACTATACGTATTT